TTAATCATGGTTTTTGTCACATCCGTTCTCTCGCTAGTGATGCATGATAGGGTTGATCTTCATGGGAACTTGGTGTGAGGAAGGACTAAAAGTCAGTTATAGGGACTTTCATACCAGCTCGAATACCTATGCAGTTTTATGTGCATCCTCCGCTCGATTTATCAAGCAACGTCTATTGTGTTTGCTAAATCGGAGGCGATATATGATACAAGTTCAATGGTCGCGATCTGTACCAGAAAACGATCTCCTGTCAGGGGTTTGGTAATCAGTTTCCTAAATTTTTTCTCGGTCCAGATGATAAAATTGATTTACGTCATCCTTTTTACTTATCGGATTTGGTGCACACAGGAATGTGTGTGCACTCACTCACTCACTCACTCACTCACTCACTCACTCACTCACTCACTCACTCATTCACTCACACACGCACACACATGTCCATGGGTGCCTAATCCTTTACACAAGCAGCTGTTTTACAAGGTTTATCCGTTCCCTAACTTGACGCTCTGTTTCATGCTCAATTTTGTATTCCGGACCGCTTACACCGCCCGAATAGTGGAAAATAAGTGCGCGACGCATACCTACATATATACGTGCATAGGTTGACCATAGACTTAGGCATTTGGCGACAGAAAATGCTGCTGTATTTTTCCCATTCACATCGAACGCGTCCTAATGGTTGTCGGATTTTTTATTCATATCATTAGAATTGCAATCTTTGCGATAGGATTATCTGAATAACATTATGGCTTAGTGGATATGGTAAATATATTTCCGTAGTGTTGTAAATAAATAGAAAACAATTGCTTTGAAATAATGCATGGCTTTAAAGTCATTTTGTAAAAAAAAACAATAATGAATAAAGTACCATCTCTCGGAAATCACGTTCATCTGTAATCACAGGTTGTTAGTGTATTAACTTTCGAAACTCCTATACGGACAATTTTGATTTGTGCAACCAGCAGTCTGGCAATTCTGTGTGCTCGTTTCGGCTACCACATTTCGGTTGCCCGTTTTTTTCTTCCGATAAAGGGAACTGTAAAAAAGGATACAGAGTGATAACAATATGCAATTACAGAATATGGTGAAATTCGATGTGTGCAGGAATTGAACGGAAGCACGCGCACCTGCCTGTTTCTGATACAGCTCTTACACTGAGTGTCGCTGACCCCTATGTGAGCACAAATCACATGAAACACCGATCAGAGGTGACAATTCGAAAATACCCAGTGGGTGGTTGTACTATCAAAATGATCGTACGATAAATCATCAGGATCTGACCGATCATGGACGCGATTCATAGCATAGTTTGTCTTTTACAAGGCTCTATCTGCCCGGAGCAATANATTGCATAACGCTGCAGACAGTCCACAAAATTCATTCTGTAGTTTCGTTTCGTTCTTTACGTACAACGTAGCTGTAACTGTTCGCGTTTGAATGAGGAATTAGGTTCAACTTTGCCCCAGTTACGTTTCATTCTGTACCAGTTTTGAGATAAGATCAGATTTTCAAATTGCTGTTTAGTGATCCCTAGCCCACCGCGGGACCCCCAAAACGCAGGGACCTTACATTCTGGTACATCAATACCACATTCTGAACGGATGCGGTTGAAAAACGTGCACATGGTTTTACATTATATTCGTTATATGCCGATTTCTCAAGGCTTTGTAACCTCCAGAAACTTTTACCCCCACTTTTAGTAACCGCTTCACGCCCTGAGCAGTGTTTATCTTATCGTGACAATAATTCAAATAATGAATAAATCAAACTGCATTTACACCCTGAAGTTCCTACTGTATAACTCAAAATCGGCAACATATAAAGTCGGACGCAAATGAAGCTTCCGGTATATAATGAGTGGAAATTACGCTATTTTGTATGTCCTCATTTCCCCTTGTCGTATGATCCATATCCACTCTTATCTATTGACCGTTATGCTAGAATGTGTTCAACAACCTCGTTACAGTACAGAATAGCGTGATGCAGTGCAACCGAAATACGCCTGATTGTACGCATCAGACATTATTGTTCATTTCATATGCCGGTTCTTTGTCGTTCTCTCTCTTTCTTTCTCACACATACACAGTTGTTTAGTGATTGTGCCTTTTTCCGTATCAGATACCCAGGACTAGAGTGGTAGTTTCAGAATGACCTCATTAATCTCTGCACAGCTCATATGATCATTCGAGGGTGTGGGGCGGTTGCATGACATTATTCTCATTCTATCGGCACAGCNTCTGTACAGTTAGTTATTCGTGTCGGCCTGTAGTTGTTATCCACAAATAGTGATACTGCGGTTGGTACCCTGTCGAGAACAATAACCGAAATAAGTGACAGTTTCTTTACTCTACCTCTCCCGGTTGTCCGTTTATGATTAACTGACTGTTTCCCTGATTTAGGGTGTGAGCTTTACCAAAAGGTCTGTTGCGCAAACTGCACTCTGTGATGTCCCCCCCTCAGGTGTTCTCTAAACAGCTGATTCTTGACTCACTTATATTTACAACTGTCTTTGCGTGGCCGCACAGTCTATTATCTGTCTGATGTGATTGATGATCGACGTTTGCAGCGTCAGGCTTTCACTTCTGGGTTGTATTTATCATCCACCTATTATATCAACAGCCAGGAGGTGTATGAATGATAAATTTTATTTAGGTATGAGCAGTCCCACAAATCGCGTGCTGCTGCAAACTAGCTCACTTTCAATATATACGTATATAAACCAATCTTTCCAGATACGGCGCCAAAGTAACCAAAGAACAGAGCAGAACAACAAGCAATAGGTTTCCAGCAGAGCGGGGTGGGGTTAAAAATGTTTGTTTTCTGTATGCANTGCAATTTTGCATTCACGCCACTGACTTCGATGCAGTGCCGTATCCCTTGGTTTCTTCAGCTGAACGACAAGCTGAATCTTCAGAGGCCCTAACCTTCAGCTCAAGATGTCTCAATGGAAGGCGGATTCAAACGCAGTTTCTTCAATCCTCAGCTGCTTCTTTCAGTCTAATCCAACGTCTGTAAGTAAGACACGGTGGGCCAGGCGGTGTCTAGGCATTCGTCGGATGTGCTCTAGTCAGAGAGGGCAGTGAAGTAGTGTTGCTTAACGGAAGATTGTTTGTCCCTCACAAGTCGTCTAACCTCATCTTTACTCAAACAGGAATCAGTTGTCAAAAACAGATAGCCATTGGTCAAGATCTGTCCTGCGATAACAAGTTTCTCAGTCGTTGAGTAGTACAACACTTATCGTTGCGCTATACAGGTTCTTTCAGCGAAAGGGATATGTCGTATTCTCGCCTAAGATGTGTTCGGAGATCTCATCCCCACGTCCGGCAGCTGAAGTGCAACTCCCGAGGCGGACACAGCTTTCAGTCTCTTCTAGATTGCCATTTCCTAACAAAAGCACGGGCAAAGGCTCCTGTCAATCTTACAGCAACACCTTGCACTGTACATATACGTTCAAATCACATGACATTTCGAATAAACGCTAATTATAAGAAGAACACACAGTAGCGTTGATCGATCTACCAGCTAATATATCACAGTTTATGTCAAAAATTTTAGTAGTGGGGAAAAAACATGACATAATGGGAATAGAAATAATCAACATTCCAGCTCCGTGACCGGGTGTTGCTCACACTTTGGTCATTGCACATCCGCATTGGTCTGAGTCATTAGAGGCGGGTGGGGGATAATTGTGTCGTGTGTTGGCCATGGAAGACGGAGTGTTCTTACGAATTGTTTTTGGGAGCATGTGGGTGTATGTAGGTGGATTCCGATCTCCACCGCTGTAGACAATGTGATTCCTAATCCCCTTAGATCAACCGCTGCAAAATAGGTAGATGGGTCGAAACGCCTCGGCCCCAGTAGCTACGTGGTTTGACTCCTGGGTGTGAAACGATCGATCTGCTGATAGTCCTAATCACCCCACTGTATGCCAGGCTGGGCCATGTGTTCTCCCCATCACTAAACTTTTAGACAAGTTGTTATGTGATACCCTGTAGATGAATCACTGCGACCGAGGTTGTTGGCTACTGTGTGTTCTTACCATATAGAATGATGGTTTATTCGGACAATCAAACCTCAATTGACAAGCGGTTTAGTACACTTTGCATCGTCTGTGCATTGTCACTAAGTACGGCAATTTTAGCGGCATTCGTGGATTCGACGACTATCTTCAGGTCGGAGCTCGACACCTGATATCATTCTGTTAAGTAACGCTTTTTGCACCTCGACCAAAGTTAGAGAGAAAATGAAAGATAGAGCAAACCTATTGTACCCAACCGGTAATGGAAAACTAGGGTAACGGTTCACCGGGAGTTCTAACCTTCCCTGGAGTCTACCGGTTTAGTGTTTTATAGCCAGAACATACTTCGCAAAGACTCCGTATCACAACAAGCGGTTCAACACAATCCAGTACGATTGATAGAGCCGAAGGCCACTGGGATTGGCAGTGCTTCACACTCCCCCACTACATAAAGCCGATTGTGATCAACCTGGGTGTCTGTTTACGTCGATTCCGGGTTACACCAACTAAATAACCATTCGGGTGTCTGAAACAGGAACAGACTGTTTTAGAGGATCAAGCAGACTGTGTTATAAATACAAACCAAGAAGTCTATCATTGTGTGTAATTATCTGAACGATAGTTTTGAAGACTAATTGCCTCGGGATGGATCTCAGGTTGACAAATGTCGAGCCCGTTTGTCTAGGTCTCTCAACATAACCTATATTCATCTTACACGCTTTAAAATAGTAGATCATGCTGACGATGATACTAGCTGTGTTTGACTGCCTTAGAGCTACAGTCTGTTAGAGCTTATAGAGAAACCACGCTCAAGTGCCGTTCCTTTTGTTCCTGCTTCTTTCACTTTTTTATTTTTACTTTTTTTATTGAATACCCAATGATACAATTTTCAGATAGGTGAAGGCTGCCATATAAAATCATAGTGGAGATGTTGAGGCGGTGGTGGTAATGGGATTCGAACACACGTCCTCCGGGGTGATAATTTGGTGACATTACCACCGGGCCACCACCAATGCCTTCTTCAAAATAGGCCCAATCCTTGTCCATCTTTCTTATTCCCACTAACTTTTTAAGCGTCGCGAGTTTGGTGGCGATCAGTGTAGTCCGCTGTACGATGATGAACGGAGCGAGTAAAGGAAACCGAGTGTTCGCATATGGAGTCTTAACTGTTGAATGCAGATCCCATCAGGAACTGCTTACCGCCCTTTCGGTTGCTTCACAATCGGCTATGTCCCACCGAGCTGAAGTAAATTAAATGTCTCAATGGACCCCAAATCACATATCAAACAAGACAAGAGTGGTGAACAAGCTAGTTTTCAGTGATGCATATTCATTCAAATACACTAAATGTGTGTGTTGTTTTTCCACCCGAAGTCACAGGTCTCAGGCTCAGCGTACTACTTTTTGATATTTTTTAAAGCCCATCCACCCCGGTTTTCACTGTATCGTTTCAAACGAATAGAACTCGAAAAGGCTGTTTCCTATGAACATTACTCAGTAAGAGGGTCACGCGGAGATTCAATAGGGTATGGTTATCTGAAAATTACATGGGGGCTTTCGGGTCTTTTCGATTATTAAGCAGAAAGTCAACAGTCATTTCATTTGTGTGTGTGTGTGTGATTGGTTATGATCTGACATGTAGATTAAATTGGGAATATCGAGACAGTTCTGTTTGTAAAATCGCTCACTGTCAGGGAACGTGTTCTCATTGCCTTCATTCCTGGGTCATTTTAATCTTGTTTGAGCAAACCTGATCAAAAGTCGTTTGGAGCAGAATCATCGTGTTACTCGGTCAGTCCTATTGTCTCCCTATATGGTGTTGCCCCAAAGTTAGCGTTTTGCACTTCACTGTTCTGATTGCCTCCTTTGACTACGAAGTTTCTTCTGTCTGACAAGTGATTTTCTAGCACACCACATAAGATCACCACATAAGATCATCACATAAGATCATGTTATTTATCGACCTTGGTACCCGGTTTATAGCTGTTGCAAACTGATCTAACGACACTTCAACATTTGGCCTTAGGTTCTCTAATATTCTTTGAGCAAATAATGAAATAGTTTCACGGTTCATCACACTTACTAAGGTCGTACATATTAAAATACCGTTTCTATCTTTTACCGTTTTTTGTCGCTAAAAGTGTAATATTGTGTCTCTCGTCCGAATTCCATGTATTCCATTCATTTGGTCATGAATCATGTGGGTAATTTATGGTCGAACTGCAATTGCTTGTCTATGATAGATTCATAAAGAACTTTTGCGTAAAATCCAGGGTCACCTGGAGTTTGCATTCCTGGGGAGCATTGTAACTGCATTCTTTGTCAGTCTGCTTCTACGACATTTTCAATGCAGTCGTGCAGTTGCTTTCGGTTTGTTATCCTGGAACAAACTGGAATGGTCATTTATCATTCCCTCCTTTTCCTTTTGTTGCAGACCGGCGAACTAACCTTAGAACGAATCGCACATGCTGTACAGCTGAAAAAAACTCGAGAGGAACGTAAACCCAGTCCTCCGGTTCAACAGTCTAATCATTCCGGTCCAAGTGGCCTAGCGGCCAACCGAAGCCGCCAGATCCAATCAACCAGCCAGTCTCGGAGTGGCGTACAAGTGCCGCGCGACAACGCACCTCAAAACCCACCCAAATCTCGCACGATCGGTTCACCAAAACGCAAACCTGCTGAACAGTCCACGTCCTTCAGGGCCTCAAATAGTTTGGCTACCAAGCCCGCAGCTCAAGCATCCAAAACGCGAACGTTGAGCAGCAGCAGCAGCAGTGGTAGTTGTAGCAGCAGCATTAGCAGTAGTGACAGTGATGACGGTGGTCCAAATCAAGGTGTTGATGATCGTTCGTCTACTGTAGCTGCTGTCCAGAACACGACACAGCAGTCCGCTGATAGTAGTGATAGCGACGATTCCTACTCAGATTTGAACAGTTTAAACAGCCCTTCAGACAAGGAAATGATCGATAACTCTGGAAAAGAAGCTGAGCGGAGGAATCACTCTTTCCCATCGGCGCCTTTTTCAGCCATACAGAACCCTGCACATCGTAAACTGATCGAACACGATTTAAGACTGAGTGATTCGGACTCAGACAGCTGCTGATAGTAGCCCCAGTGCTTGACATCCCACTATATCACTTCGTCGTCCTAGGGTCACACTGCCCCTGAATTGAGATTGGCTTCAGGTGATTCTCATACGTGCCTGCTTGTCTCTATCTGTGTAGGTAAGCTGTGCGACCCGCATGTATATATATATAGAATACGGTCGTGAAGTCTTATATATATATTTATATATGCTGCGTCAAAGATCCGTTCATTCCTGGTGCTTAATGCCATANGCCATATGGACAGAGAAATGACCAAGTCATTTATGTCATGCCTGGTTTCTTTGATCGATCCATGTCTCCCCTTCTCTCGTTCGATTGGTTCATCTTTCGCGGTTTCCCTCTGGCATCGATGTGATAGTCTGATCCCTTCTTGTTTTCCATGAAACAAAATTAATCCTTGAAATTCCATTCTTCGGTTGACATCTGCCACTTCTTTTTGCATGTTATTCTGCTCTCATACTGTGCTTCATAATCACGTGCATACGCTGTGCCGTGTTTGTCGACAATCGTGTAACGCATTCTCACGGGAGGTTGACGACATTGCTCACAAATTCAATCTGGATATGGTCTATTTCGACTCAACTTCGCTCAGGTCCGATTCCTCTGTCGTGAGGTAACGGAAAATGCCATGAAATCCAAATCGCGAGTCCACTACTAATGTTCCGTGCTTAAATTTGCACACGTTGACTTTATAAAGGCTCTGGAAGTACTGGAAAAAGTATTCTTATCTTCAGATGCTTGCATGGACCTTATTCGTGTTGTATTATTACACTCAATGAGGTTTATGTACAGATTATCTGTATTCTTTAACATACAAGTGCAAAACCATACATAGATATTTCTTCCGGATGGATGAACCATGCCGAGGTTACGTCATTACTCGTATTTTCCGTGGTATCTTCTCGTGTTTGATCGCATCAGAGTAAGCCTATTTCATTTGGAAAAGGGCGCCAGTTGGCGACTAGGCGAAGGTTTAGTTATCTGAAGCAGTGTTAGAAGAAATGAATATAAACTAGATGCGATTCTATGATGCTACTATCCGTATCTTGACTCGTCCTTCGTTTGTTGTCAGATCCTGTTACTAATCTTGTCGTACTTTCGCTAACCGACTAAATCCTGTCTTTACTCTGATGGTCCTCCAGTTTTGATTCAAAATATTTATCTGTGTAGCCCTCTTATCACACAGATCGATAAACTGTAAGATGTCAATCCTTTCCAGACACTGGATCACAAAATAAGCAGACGGCTTCACCAGGTGACGTAGATTTTGAAGCAATGCATTATTCTCTTCCAGACTAGCATTTGTTCTCATTTGCCTGAGTAAATCGACAGTGAGTAAGATAATGCTAGGTTTACGCTCTCGTGATTGTTGTCTATATCTTCAAAACCCACCAATTGCCAAAACAAGCCTTCACTAAAGACTCCTATCATGACTTTGACAGAACAACACGAGAAGCGAACAAGCTTGTTTTAGATAACTTGCTCTTACTAATAGATTCATATGTGTATGAAGTGAACAGACGTACGACAAATAATGTCAGAATGGAATATGCATTGATTGAACACGGTGGATTTGAAGAAGAGTGGTTGGGAAATACGTAAATCAGAAAATTGTTATTCAGTGGTTGAAAATAAGGAGCCGAGATACAAAGAGGAAAAGCGAGATGAAACAATTAGGCTAGACCACATGCATCCGTCTTAAGTTAAAGGGTTACGAGTGAATTGAAGTTGTTTGTCGTACCTAGACGACTGGAGGACTTAAACAAACTGTTTTTGTGGACAGTGTTGGTTGCAATAAATTTATTTCACCGCTTCTGATGTTGTAAGATGGAGTTGTCGGAGAGTTTGAGGGTACCTTGTAAACGATTTTGAATGCATCTTCGTTTACTTGGTGTGCGGTACCTGCGAAATGTGGCGTGCTTGTACTCGATATGGTCCGTGTGCTTCCCGTGTTTAACCAAGCTGGTTTATGTCCCGTGATTCGTTAAGAAAATAGTCTGACGGTTCTGCCTACGTAGCTTGCCGAACATGAGCAAACAAAAGAAAAGATCAACGTAAAGGAAGCGAGGATCGGCAGTTTATATTTAATATTCAAGGTTAACAGGGATCGGCTGGTGAAACGTAGCTAAACGGGTCAAAGAAAGTGTTCGGGCGATCGTCTAATTAAGATGTTTTGTTAACAAATCACATTGGTAGTTACCTTTGAATCTGGGTAGATTTGCCTTTGGTTAACTGTAGTTACCGTTGGTCCTTCGGTTATTTTGACTGAACCTCGGGATAATCATTGTTCAATACTGTCTACCTAAGCCGGTTCAATTCAAAGCAAAACTTGGCCTCGCCAAAATCAGTTGATCCCATTGCATTCGTTCAAATTGCATTATTTCTCAGGTAATAGAAGACAACAAGTAGTCCTTTTGATTCGTGAAATGATAAGTTACTCCGTGAGATTCGAACTCACGCGTCGATTTCACTTTGTATCTCAGCTGATCGAGCGTGAGCTATACCTAGCTTAGTTGTCATCCATGCGTGAATTCGAATCCCACGGAGGCTACCGGTCCTTTGAATTTGCCGAAACTTGGTTGGTACCGCGTTACGCATGAACTCATTGGAACGCTCTACGCAACCAAATGTGGACTAAATCTGCTCTGAGTCATGAAGCTACTGAAATGTGAGTTTAATATTTGAACCACAATGGATGTGTTCGCGGTTGTAGGTCACTATCATGTTTGTATGTTTTACAAGCATCTAAGTTCGGACTATGTGCCAAACGAATCACGGTACAACAATCTTTACAAAATACCTCACGAATACTGCGAGGCTACAAATGCCAAAGCATGTGAACTTTCTCAATGAATTCACACCCGGAGCCTTTGGCTAGCCCAAGCCCCAACCCGGAAGGCATCAGCGCGGTGTGAAAACCACAAGGGTACAAATATCTTCAACCATCCCAGTTCATACCCCATGGAAATCTCTACTTACCCACCATACCATACCCAAAAGGCGACCATGTACATGCTGAATTCTGACAAGAATAAGGAGTAAGAGGCTCCTTTTCCCACTGGAAGATCTCATGCACTCTTAGGAACTGTCCCCATTTTCCACGCACTATATTTAACATCACTGCCGAATTGTGTTTGGAACCATGTGCTGGCTGTTATTTATCCGCCTGTATTCACGTCATGACGCATTCATCTTTCCCCAACAATAGCAGTCTGGTAGTCTCTCTGAGACTATTCATGATTTGATCAATAGTTGTGGTGGTTGAATCGATGTGTTCCTCCTGATTGGCAAGGTTGAACTGTTGGCCACCTTGAAACCTGATTTAAAGTATCAAGCGTTTTAAGGTTCTAATGCAATGCGCCAATATCTCTCATCAGTAGCTTTGAAAGTTATGTTGTCCGTCTTCAGATATCTTACCTCATCCGAAAGATCTCCTCTGTCCTACGTAAACTTTCGCCAATCTGGTGTTTCTATGATTTGTCTTCTTTCCTCTCACTTGTTTGACCATTCTTGCGGAGTTCTTCAGACATCCTGGATATGTGAAATAACACCTGATATTTTTGTCTTATTCCTTCTAACTCTTCTGTATCGGTTTTTCTCAAAAGCCAAGTTTCAGCACGTCTGTTCCATCGTTGTTTTTTCTCCTGCATTTTGCTGTATCCGGGTTTGATGTCTATTACATCAATTGCCATTTATGTGTTTTTGTGCTATGCTATGGACTAAGTGAGCGTCACGTCGAGGTTTCCTCGGTCTTTAATTGTTATTGCACCAGCTATGTTCGGCACCTTGGACGGATGTTAAACTCGTGTCTGAAATCTAAGATGTGTATCTGTTCACTAATGTGCGAACCGTTTTACGAGGTAGTTGTGGTTGTTGCCATTCCGGATTGGATGACGTATCCATTTAAGATCTTTGCTTTACCTGAACGTCAGTCCATGCGGTATTTTATCCGGCATGAAAATTTGTTCTTTCTCAGATCTTCCCTAGATGGATGATAAATTGCTAAATATCGCGAGGAAAACAGTTGGCGGTACCAAACTAAATAAATATTCCATGTCCGCGTAATTTTGCTCTGTCCACACGATTTCTCCGCCCGCCGATCGCTCGTATAATCGTCCCGTTGGTGGATGCATCTGGTTGTCGTCGTCGTAATTTGTTTTGAGTTTATCTCGATAACCTGCGTGTTGGAATACTACAAACGCTGGGCATTCCATTGTACATTTGAGCTCACATTTTCTCTGGTCGCACAAGAGTTCGCGCGGCGAATATGGTGTTGAGCGAGTTCAAACTGGGGCTGAAGTTATTTTTCGCGACTTTAAGGCAATCCCGATGTTTCATGTGCTAAACATCCGAATCTAAGTTTTATTATGGAAAACGCCTACATGCTGTTGTTTTTCTTGTCCCATTTGGTTTTCAACACATGAATCGATTGACCGGGTAACTAGAGGGGTGAAATATCACGTAGTTTCTCTGTTTTTATGGATGTCGAATGTCAAATTTGCTGACCATACCTCAAGTCTCTGCTTAAAATATACACAGCTATATTGTCGTTCATGCTATGCGGATAGGGAGCAACTGGGTTTTGATGAATTTGGCACATGGTGTTATTTAGTTCAAGTGTAGATCATGGTGATGACCGGTGATTGTTTGAGATTTTCAGTGACTCGTGTTCACTCTCGTGTAGTTCATGAAAACTGCGGATTCCATCTCCAATCTGTTTTATGTTGACACAGTCGGTGAACGGAATTTAACACGATCCATGTTCGTGGACCGGGTCGGTGCACTTGTGTGAACATTTTTTGACTTTCTTTGGAACGATCCACCTTCAGGTCGTATGAGTACCGGACATGTTCGTTGTGATACGAATGAAAAGTGTATCTATTCTTTATTGGACAGAATTCGAGTAAGCATGTCGTTAATCGATCCGAGCTAGTTTAGTTGAAACTGGGTGGACGGATGGAAGCGAAGTGTACCGATACGTTTGAGGTCTAATGAG